AGACCTCGCTGAGGCGCCCGTACCTACCGCCATCATACCCTCGGGGGTATGGACGATGCATGTCTCTGTGCTCCCATCGAGGGACCAGCCCTTCCCGTTCGAGAAGGACACTGCCGCATACAAAAGATGCCTCTCCCGTGGGCTGCAACGCGTTGTACCCGTGCAGGGTTACAGCGCCGAGGCCATCACCTCGGCGATCTCCAAATTCTTCCATCCAGTTTTGCAAAACAACGCATGGGAGCCTCTGGAAGCCAAGGTGTGCGACGCCAGGAGGCTCGAAGGGCTCCCGATGCTACGGCCGCTGGAGCCTGAGATCAACAGAACGGCCTACGATATGGGTCTCATCATGGGGCGCTGCGCCGTCCGAGATGGTTCCGGGCGGATTCAATCCATGTACGTGGCGCTGAAGAGAGGGAAGCTCTCGTGGAATACGATCAGGGATTTCCCCGTCTACATGGAAGGGCTGGAGTCGAGCTGGGCGTTTGACAGATTCCTCGATCAAGACGGGGAGAGTGACGGAGACTTGGATGGGGAGGGTGCCGACGTGCGCCCACGACGTCCGTCCATGTCTCAGGTAACGACTCTGACGAAGCCTTCAGTGTCATTGAAGCGAAGCTCGGCAGAGATGGAGCTGGGAGGGGTGGGGAGCAACGGTTCGGTTGATGGCGAGAGCGAGGCACCGAGGGCCAAGGTCGCACGAACATGCATCCCCGACGCACTGGATTTCAAGGCGAGGTATGAGAGCGACCTTGTGAGCCGCTATTAATGATTCATGACGTATCGCAGGACGACGAAGTGGGTTTTTTCTTCTTCTTTTCTTTTCAAAGTATAGAATGTGTCCGAGGACGTCGGTTCAGCCGATAAATGCATGTCCACGGGCTTTGGTCAAAGAGGACGGAACTGGCGTTATTCATTCTGGATTGGGCAGCGGGAGGGAATGGATGCCGGGGATGCAAAGATAGATGACATGCTTGTTATACGATCGCTTCACTCATATGACCACATATGACTAGACATAGAGGAGCGAGCCTATTTAGCAGACATAACATAGCACGAGACGATGCGACAGGCACACACACACACACGATAGAGGTAGCTAGATAGAGCTTCAGGAAGCCAAATAGGATTAAGGAGTATCGAGAAGTGACTATGTAAGTGGAAAGAAATGGAACCGAGATGCTGCAGCGTTGGTCATTTTCGTATCATTGGGTTTCCTGAAGGCTCGATTATCAATGAAGAAAAAATGACCGTCGATGTGTTGAGTGCCGAACAAACCAGAGATTAGCCCTACCACAGAAGCATGGCAACCGGGAAACTTTTTGACGTTGGGCGCCCAGGATGGCTGTCTCCGTGAACTTGCGGAGCCTTAATAGTACTCCTCACTCTCCTCCATGTTCGCGAGGTAGCGAGCATAGAGGAGCTCCTCGATATCCCGCTCGTCGAGCTCATACTCGCGCTCCTCCAGGTCCTCGAAGTACGACCGCTCCTCCACGTCCCGCTCATCGAACTCCTCCATCTGATAGTCGCGAAGTTCCTCGGAGGCAGCCTCCGCGGCGGGTGCCTCCTCGGCGGGCGTCTCCTCAGCAGCGGCGGGCTCGGGAGCGGGCTCCGGGGTGGTAGAGGCAGACGCAGACGCCTTGTCGGCCTCGGCGTGGTGTTCCCCAGCGTGCGTCTCGGTGTGAGCCGCCTTGGCTTTGGTGTGGGGAGTTTTGATGGCTTGCTTCTTGTTGTCGTGGTGTCCGTGGCTGGCGCGGAAGAGCTTGCGGTACCCGATGAAGAACTTGGCGAGCGAGCTCTCGTCAAACGGCCTGCGCACCTCGAGGTCCCTCGTCTCGTAGGCGGATCCGGAGATGGGCATGGCGAGCGCCTGGTCGGCGAGGCTGGCCGCGAGCGCTGCGACAGCGATATTCTTGATGGCAACCATTTTTTTAATAAGTAGGGGTGGTGTAAAAAAATTGTATTTCAATAAAAGAGGGTTAGTAGAAGCGAACAGAGACCAGCTCTTGAGATGTGAATAGAGCCCAGCTCTAGATTTTTTTTTTTGTTGTTTTGGAGGTGGAGTGATGGGAGAATTGCTGCACTGGCGGGCAGCGTGTTCTTATTATACGACCTTCGTCAGATTGCGGATGTTGCTATTTTGAGGCACGCTGCTCATCGCCCATTGGCTGCAAGAGGCGGGACTTGCGAAAAGGGCCCTGCCTAGACTCAACCGTCCAGGATGCGACGCATATTACTTAATACCTGGGCCGTTGGGGTGCTGCGGTCCAAGCTGCCCAAGTCGAATTTCTGCTGAGGGTGAGCCAATCTTATGTCATACCCTGCTGCGCAGCACGGAGGCCGCGCGCGTGCCGTGGGCCAACATAGGTGCGAGTATAAGTATTACTGGCAAGTCAACCAAAGTCGGCTTTCGATATGCACGCGACAGCCCAACGGCTCTTTGCGATGGCTGCTTCGCCCGTGATATAGACTTCTGGAGATCACGCTGGTGCAGGGCAAGCCGGTGGAAGTACCCACATCTCCACACCGGCACTACCTACAGGGTCGCCTTAGTGCTAATTGAAGGTTTGCCCGCTGGACATTGCCCCAGGTAGCAGGTAGCAGGTCTCGCTAGGCCTGTGAGCCGCTGTGCTGCACCGCTTCCACTGCCCGGGCTGGGCGGCTCCGACTGCCCCGACCGGCGCTAGGCGTTGGGCAGGCAGTTCGCGACTCGCGAAGCTCTTCAATTGCACTTGCTCCTCTCGCATTCTCGCACCCTCATCCGCCTCGTCCAAAGTCCCCGTGTCGCCAGCCTCTCCCGATCTGGCACGCACATCTCTGTGCAATCTATGCAGTAGATTTTATCTCGACACATTCACTGTCCGGCCTCAGTCTGGGCTGGGGAATCTCGAGCACCTAAAAGCGTTCGTTCACACATCGCCATCCTTGGCTTAGGCGGATTTCGTTCCAATCCACCGAGACAGCATCAATCTCTTCAGTTTCGCAGCTATACACTCTTGGTCAATTCGCCTATCATGGATCTGGATATTGAGATGGGTGATGCTGCCCAGCAGCCCTTGATGGAGGAGCCCACCCGGGACAACGACATTCTGGTAAGGCCTTCCTTTGCGTCTCCGATGCAGGCCCTCTTACCCAGCACCCATATACTGATGGCGGCTTAAAGCAACCCGATGAGCCTGAAGAACTCGGCGAGGTCATTGAGGATGAAACCACAGCGGCGGACAACGAGTCTCAAACGGTGGTACCTAACAAGGTTCACGTCCGTGGAGTCGACACACTACACACAGACGACATCAAGACGTACGTGAGGTCGCATTTCGGCTCGGTCGACAGAGTCGAGTGGATCGACGACACCTCCGCGAACCTCGTCTTCAGCTCCGAATCGGTCGCGCGTGACGCCCTCGTGGCATTGAGCAATATCGAAATCGCGGACGCAACGGCGCTGGGAGTAGGCGAGAGCCTCCCCGCCAAGGCAGTCGACGGCAAGCCCGACATCTCCCTCCAGATCCGCTTCGCCGTCGAGAGCGACAGGAAGGAGGCCGGCGCCGCACAGAGAAGCCGCTACTATCTCCTGCACCCGGAGCACGACCCTGAAGAGCGGCGCAGACGGAACCAGGAGAACAGGAGCAGGTACCGCGAGCGCGACAGCCGCGGCAGCGGCAGGTACAGGAGAAGAGGGTCCGACGACGACGAGATCGAGACCTACGAGGCCAGCATGTATGACGACGCACCCCGAGCTTCACGCCGACGATCGGAGTCGCGCGAGCGTTCGCGCGAGAGACGGCCTTCGTACTCGGCGCAGAACAAGGGCAAGGAGCTATTCTCTAGCGGAAGGCCATCTCGTGGCAGGGGAAGGTCTGCGTCGCCCAGCCGTGACCGCGACGGCGACATGTCGATGGACGAAAGTGCTAGTTCTGCCGGGAACAGGATCAAGGCTCGCTCCCTCAAGGATCGCATCACGTCCGACAGGGGCAACCGATCCAAGGAGCTCTTCCCTACCAAGGGATCCGGTCGTGGCGGCCAGCTCGATCAGCTCGAAAGCTCCACGGGCTCAGCTCATCTCACGGAGGAGGATCATCCCAAGATTGTGGACGTACCCCACGGCTCGAACAGTAACTTTAACATCCGGGGTTCGGCGAACCCGCGCAGCAACAACGGCGGATTCAGCATCAAGGGCACGGCGGCGAGCGCCAAGGAGCTGTTCCCTACCAAGCTTGGAGGCAGCAACGCAGGGAAAGAGCTGATAGGGGCGAAGAAGCAAAACAGGAAACGAGCTGAGGATCTGTTCGGTTAGAACCTGGGAGATCTGTATCTCTAAGCCGAGAGGGATAGGGGCTGAAGGGAAAGGAAAGGGGGGACATGAGCGGGTTGGAAAACGGGACTTCTGGTATAGTACATTATTTTCCTCGGACTGCATGGGATGGGGCTTCAGAAAAAAGATTCAAAAAGACTGGTTTCCAGCGTTTGGTGTTTAGATGGTAGTATGGGGTGCATCTAGCTCATGATAGACACGATACCAATGACAAAATTTGCCTGCCCCTTCTCTTCATGCTGTGTAGTCCCCGTGTGCCCGCTGTGGTTTGCGTCGCACAGAAACGTTGGTGAACTTCGGGTGGATGAAAAAGTTCAAAATCCCCAGATCTCGGCAAGTTCACACAACACCACACAAATCAGAGTATATCAAGATAAAAAAAGAGCCGCCCAATATTCATCTATGTTCTCATATCCCCCAACTATGTCCTGGAATTTTGAATAAATAAGGCAGCAGTATATCCCGGGGCTCTACATCCGACATTTACGCCCGAATCGCCTGGGAGCCGGACCCCCGTCATTACACACGTCCGTCTGGACCAGCACCCTTCCGGACCACATGGTCTTGCCATTTGCTAATTTTTATTTGAACACTTTCTCCGTCGCTGTCAGCCCGCTATCACTGTATTGGGGAAACGCCCGCCCCAAGTCAACATATGATTTTGCCTGCTCAACGCCATGATTGATTACGTTTATGAAGGCTCAGTCCAGTTTACTTGATCCATAACTTGGCCGGCAGTGGGATGAGAATAGCCGATGCGGAGGCGCAAGCGAAGGGGCTATAAATCCGAATGTTAGCATATGTACCTCCAACCAAAGTGTGTTGTCAGTAGTCCTACCCCTTTGCACCCAGTGACCCTCATCGCCTGCGTAGCCTCGGTTCCTGGAGCGAGATCCGCCGTTGTGATGCTTTGCAGTTGAAGCTTCTGTGACTTCGGAACGGCAGCCTGCAGTCCAACATTTGACAGGGTAGCCGATCCTGAGGTATTTTGGAAGCGTGCCAGAGCTTGGATAACACCTTCGGCATTGCGTTGGATTTGGAACGTTACGTTAAGATCATTGGCATTGTAGCAAGGATGGCCGGGAGCAGCTTGGGCCTGAGGAGGTGGGGTGGCGGTGCTGCCACCCATCAAGTCAAAGTTGGAGGATGTTTGTGTAGGAGCCGGAGAGGCAGGACCTCCAGATCCAAAGAGGTCCATAATAGATGCTGTGTGAGACTGTTGTTGGTGTCCAGGTGAGAATGGAGCAGGAGTGTTGGGGGCGCTCAGGATATCAGCAAGCAGATCCGAGTTGTTCTGAGCAGGACCACCAGTGGTAGGAGTGCTTGCACCTGGGACATCCATCAGGCTGAGCAGGTCATGTTCTGTGGGCTTGAGAATCTTAGACTTCCTATTGACAGCCTTGGACTTCTTGGTTGCCGCTGGACCCAGCACTCTAGATTCCTCCTTGATCTGTGGTGGTGGCATCTTTTCGAGAACACCGCGGCGGATTTGGTCGAATTGGAACAGATTGCTATATTCAACCGCACGCTGCTGAATCTCGACATCGAGACTCGTCTGGTGAGTCTGGAGCAATCGCCGTACCCGTTCCACTTGCGCAGGGTCAGAGCATCGAGTGGTGAGCTTCATGAGAGCGGTAATAATGTACTCGGTAGTGACTTGCGAGGCATAGCTGCTGTTCAAGATAAGCGAGAAGAGGTCGGTAATCTCACTCTCCTTGACTTCAGCGACCAGTTCCTCCTCTTCATACTGGCCGCCTTTCAAAAGAGCATCAGCATACTCTCCAATGCACCAAGCTCCAGCTTGGGCAAGGCTTTCCTGTGTGATATCTTTCTTCAGGTTAATGTATAACTTCTGCACGGCATAGGTCTGCAGTTCGGGTGTGGTCGCAATCAAGCGAACAAAGGAGGAGAGGATCTGCTCCTTGACATAATTGCCGGCCAACGTCACCACCCTAAGCATTGTATCAAAATGCCAACGCTTGTTCGGAGCAAACTTATCAGCAGCGATTCCAATCTGGCTGGTCATGGTAGGCTTAAACTCATTGTCCGCTACTTCCAGGAAAGCCAGGAGCTCTCTAATCAGCACTCGGACGTTGCTTTCATTAATAAGTGTAAAGCTCAGGTCCAGAGCACGTCTCCTGATACTGATATCTGGGTCTCGAAGACATTCCAGAATGGTATTTCGGTGTCTCTGGACAGCATTTGGCTCAATGGCAACAACCTTGATGAGGGTGTTGAGAGCCACGTATCGAACATTGTTGTCTCTGTTGGTAAGGAACTTTCCAAGAATGTTGACACCCAATACTCGCAGGCCAGAATCCGCTTCAATATCGAGAATAGTCAAGACGGCTTCGTAAAGAATCGAGTTGCCGACATTCTTTGAGGGATCCGTGTTTGTCGCAACCTGGGCCAGAATATCGTTGATTTGCTCGCTTATGTTCGCATCGCCCACGGCCAAAACACGTAGAAGTCGCAAGATCTTGACCTGGAGGAAAGGGTCCGAGATGCCAGTAACATCGTGCTCCGGGGTATATCCAGCAGTTGACAGACTCTTCAAGGTCTTGACCAGACCGGGGACAAATGACCTAAATTTCTCCACGATGCCTTCTTCGCCGCCCTCTTCCTCGTCTGCTTCGCAAAGACTAGTAACAAGCGTCAAGCCACAGAGCAGGACACCATGATTTCGGTCGGACAGGAGTTGCGTTGCCTTTTCAAGGAAGTGTTCCTGGAGATCGGGGACCTTGCGACATATGCGCATAGCGCACAGGGCTGCCTTTCGTCGGATATAAGGGTTGGCGGTTGCGAGCAGTGCCTCGACTTCGGAGAACAGATCACGAGACATCTCAAGAGAGGCGATGTTCCCCAATGTACAGAGAGCCAGACCGACGACATACTGATTGGAGTGCTCGAGGTCACTGTGAGGATCCTAAAGTTAACCAGGTGTCCAAAGGACATTTAAGGAGCTGTAGGGACTGGGATGCTATTCCATACTTCTTCAGGGAGTTTGTAACCAAGGTCAGCACTTCTTGGTTTTCGTCCAGAAGCAAACTCGTGGCCAGGTGTCCTAAACGTTTGTCGGCGAATCGAGGAGATGCCAGCAGCTTCAAACATTCGATCTGTCCGAAGTGCGTTCGCTCACCCAGAGTGAAGAGATATAGGAGCTTTGCGACATTGTTACGTCTGTACCCCGCCCGTCAGCATCCACCATTGTACATTTCCCAGCCGTATCGTGATGGCGGCACCATGGAAGGGGTTTCAGAAGCTGAGCACCTACCGGACGGTGTGGTTGTGGGATTCTTCTCGGAAGCTGGCTCGAATGGCGGCACTCTCCTTTTGGATGACAGCTCGCTCGTCGGCGATGGTCTTGGCTGCGCGCACATTGCGGATAAACTGTTTTACTGCGAGGGAATCATCGTAAGTGTCACGGCCCTAAAACAAAGTTCGTTCGGCTGGTGATGATCATACAGGAACTCATATTGTAAACGGGTTGTGGCGGACCCGGCGACTAGATCGCCTGGTAGCTTCTTGATCCAGGGGCAGAGGAGAGTATGCAGACCCTGGCTGGGGGAAGCGGTGTGATATTGGCAGCTTGGTATAAGAAGCTGCCGGTCGGAAGTCTATCGCTGGCGTCCCGAATGGCTGGCCACGCAAACAATGGCTTACACTATGCGGCGGGTGACGCTGAGGGATTGGAGTCTCGATGGGAAGTTAAGATGTGAAGGCGGACACATGTCAACGTGGGGCTCAGTTGCCAATCAGGTACGTACCGCTTTGTATGGCGAAGCTTGGCCACTGCAGTTTGGCGGTGTCCCACAGCGGTTTCAGCCAGCTACAGCGCCATGCGAGCAGGTGGAGGGCCCGGGGCGGAAAAGCTTCGCCACCGGTTAAGCAACGGTAGGCAACAAGATTATTACACTCCGGAACTTTCTTGAGAGCAAGTTGTTAGCAGCGCCTAATATAAGCATAAGGTAGCTCTGAGTTCTTTTTTAGGATGGACGTATCTGCGCAAGTGCCACGCTCAAATATGTGTTGAGTTGGTGACTTGGCCTACCACAACTTTTTGTGCCTCCCATAGCTGTGATCTAATAAGTTGGTTTATCGTACTATCAGTTTACAGATGGAAAACGATATCACCACAGTGTCATGGCAAGAAAGGAACACCCCAAAGACTAGTTAAAGTGATTATATTTTTCACTCCTCGTGTGTTGGTCAACATGGCACAAGCAGGACGGAGCAATACCCAGACTTAGACCTCATGCCTCCCGCTTCTCCACACTAACTACATCACAACATAGTCTACCACACATCGCTCACAACTTCGGTAAGCCTATTGAGTCGACAAGAAGGCCTAGAAGATATCAAATGTCATTTAAACTTGAACACCCCAGGACTACCAAGATAACGAGACCAGGATTGGGCTCGAGGTCTAGCTAATGCTGCACAGCAGCAACTCGGAGGCCTCTCTGACTTCAATCGCCTTATTTCTGCATCATGAGTTGGACGAATTCGTTATCTACACACTAAGTTAGCAAACAACCAAGTGGGGAGAGCTTAGTTTTCAAGGGTTCCGTACAGTCAATGCGTCCATCACCGTCCTGGTCAGCCTCCCGGATCATCTCATCAACCTCGTCGTCTGTGAGCTTCTCACCGATAGAGGTCATAACGTGTCGCAGCTCAGCAGCAGAGATGAAGCCATTGTTGTCACGGTCGAATACCTGCCCCATGTCAGCTTTGAGCACTGCATCGTCCCTACCATAGCTACGAACCTTGAAAGCTTCACGAATTTCCTCCTCGGAGTCGGTGTCCTTCATCTTTCGTGCCATCATGGTCAGGAATTCTGGGCCCCTTGGTCAGCTATACAGGTCCAAAAGATCGCGTCTTTGGAGCTATCAAGTCGTACCGGGGAAGTCAATCGTGCCGTTGTTGTCGGCATCAACCTCGTTGATCATGTCCTGGAGCTCGGACTCGGAAGGGTTCTGACCGAGGGATCGCATAACGGTTCCCAGTTCTTTGGTGGTGATCTCGCCTGGAAACAGTCGAATCAGTTTCCGTCACATGTAAGTCATCTGTGGATAGGCGCTCTCCAGCCGCTATTGGTGAAGAGGTTCTGTTTCAGGGCTGTCGGAGATCCCATCAAGCACCGCGATGGGTGCTTCTGGGAGGGGGGCGCTGCGCTGCGAATCCGGCACTCACCATCACCATCCTTGTCCTAGATCGCCAATGGTATTAGCTGCAGGCCATAGCATCTAGACGCCAGAGCTTGAAAAGGAACTCACAAACAGGGAGAAGGCCTCCTTGAACTCGGAGACCTGCTCTTCAGTCAGAGAATCAGCCTGCGCGATTGTTAGTTGCACGTTGCCCCAAAGACGGTAAGGAGGTCGCCCCTCCAAAAGGGGATGCGCGGGGCAGTCTAGTGCTTGCACGCTCAGATTGAGCATGAGGGCATCGAGACCAGGATGCGGGCGGGAAATATCCATACCATGATGATGTGCTATCAAAGGTATCGAGAAAATTGGAATTTGGTGTCCGTGGATGGTGGTTCTGCGACAAGCACAGATTCCAAGGTTAGGTCGTGAAGGTGTCGGAAGAGAGGACAATTTGGCGGGGCGGCGTCGGGGGTTGCAGCTTCTTCAGCCTGGGGGGACTGGATAAGGCGGGACCTAGTGAGATAAAAGCTGCTAAAACACCTCCTACCAATAGCAAAGATTATACAATTGACACCACCTGGAATGGAGCATCTCGTAGAGGTCCTTGCCTATTTTTGGACTTATGTAAGGCAAGCTGTACAAGCTTAGGACAGGTCAGCAAGTATACAGTAAGCCGTAGTGTTGGGATGCATCTTCATTCGCACTGTCTGGTGCCCCTCCATAGCACGCACTCAGGTGGATCATCCACGTAATCTACTTTCGTTGGCTCCTTGGAAACACAGTGCGATCAACTGACGTGCTAACTTTCAGGCCTGTTTCCGGCTTCTAGTTCCCTGCGCTGGGCCTGTCAAGCTAATATGCCATTAGGCCAAGAAGCCAGCAGTATCCATGAAGTCAGATTGCCTCATATAATGCGACTGCACGAACGTCACCCAGAACGCTTCAGATCCTCAGCAAACGACCCTTTGGACACGCAACATCATTACCCAACCATCACAAGCGACAATCGCCAATCTGAGGCTCGTCGCAGCCCTCCTCTGCGTCCGCCATGTGGCGCGACCGCACCAATCTGTAAATGCTCCTCCCGCTTGGCTATCTTTCCCTGCTAACCACTATCCGGACAGCTACATCTCCTACCGACAGTCATACGCCCATCACCCTACTCAGAGATTTAAGTATGCTGTCGGAGGTGCATCGAGCTCCAGCAACACAGAAGGCTACGGCGATTCCTTTGCCAGCCGAAGCGATGCGCCCGAGGACTCCCGAGGTCTCCTGGCGGCTTTCCAGGACGATGGCGACGCCGTGATTGAGATGGATGTACTACCACCTCGCTGGGCAGACGTGACGGATGAGATTACCGAGATACTTGCCGACATTGCGACGAAGGGCCACGGCCTCGACAAGCTTCACCAAAAGCATGTGCTCCCGGGGTTCGACGATGACGACGCCAAAAAGGCAGAGGAGGCCCAGATCGAGAGGCTCACCCAGGACATCACGAAGAGCTTCCACAAATGCCACGCCTGCATCCAGAAGGTGGAATCGATGGTCCGCGAGTCGAAACACACCGGAACCATTACCAGTGCGGAGGAGACAATGGCGAAGAATATACAAATCTCCTTGGCCACCAGAGTCCAGGATGCCAGTTCAAACTTTAGAAAGAAACAAAGCGCATACCTCAAGAGTGAGTCCCTTGTCGCTTATTATCTATAGCGTATATCATGACTGACCTTGTTCAGAGCTTCGTGGAATGGGCGGTTTCAGCACGCCGACAGGAGAGCGCGCCAGTACACCACAGCCCGGGTCCTACTTTGAGCCATCCCTCCAAGATTCTGATGCGGACCGCTCCTTTTCGCAGTCCACCCTACTCCAGGCTACTCAGCAACGGATGCTTCACTCTAATGATGCCGTCATCGCTCAACGAGAGCGTGAGATTGAGGATATCGCACAGGGTATCATCGAGCTCTCGGATCTGTTCCGGGATCTACAGACCATGGTCATTGACCAAGGAACCATGCTCGATAGAATAGATTACAACGTCGAGAGAATGAACACGGACGTCAAAGCAGCCGACGTCGAAATCAAGGCTGCGTCCGGATACCAACGGCAGACGACAAAGCGAAAAATCATCCTTCTTTTGATCATAATTATCGCCGGTCTCTTCATCCTTCTTCTAGTCAAGCCTAAGAAAAAACGGTAGGAAAAATAGCCCGTTAGCCGCAGTGGCTATTTAGAGGTTTTGAAACTCACATTTATCGATTGATGTATTACAATCAAGGGGAGCAGCCAATGGTGTAAATAGGAGTCTCGGTGTTTTTTCTTTCTTGTTTAATCATGTATGTACTTATTCTATAGACAATATTTACTTGCTAGAACGTCTTGAGTTCTAGAAAACACGACCTACTATGGCCATAGTGGTTTGTGCCTCTTGGTTGTATATATTACAATTATTTTCCGTCTCTGAAAAGGTGTTTCCACCCCTTGTCGTCGTCGACTCCTTGGTTGAGGCGCAAACCAGTGTTTGCTCTGCCAGTCCGCCTAGCCTTGAGCGTTTTCCCGAGCGAAGGCATGTTCTCAAAAAGGTCCGAGCCCCACGCCTCATGGAACAGCTCTCTCACATGATCATGTGACAGCTCCTTACTGTCTCTCGACCTGTGTGTCTTCCCGGCTGCAATGGCTTTGCTAATGCGAAGAGGAACCTGAGAAGATATCATACCTTTCTCTATCAGGACCCCTTGGTCTCTGAGTGACGCCAGCATCCGTACGCCACATGCAATATCGAAATCGCTCGGCCTCATTCTCACAAAGAAACTTCTTTTAGGCATTTTTTGGACTGCATCGTCAAAGCCCCATCTCAGAATGGAGCGTTGCATCGGGCCATCGAAAACTTCCTGGACTGGGTGCTGGCGATGTGTAAATTCCAAGTCTGACGGTATATATTGTTTCTGTTTCTCGGAGCCAGTTTCAGGCAAATGATCCCAGATCGGTATCAGCCGGGGTGTAGGAGGTCTGAACAGTTGAACAAACTCCATCATAAGCTGTTCAAGCTCATCAAAACGGCCAGTGCGACCAAGGTTATAAAACAGGATTTTCCAATGCCCAATAGGAATAGGAATGTTATGATAGCGAAGTTGCCGGACAATGCGAATCGCCCGGTCGAGGGGCTCCATTCGTTGCTCTGCATTGTTTGAAACTCGGATGCTCCATTTCTTGGGGTGCTTTCCCAGACCCCAGAACACTCGGTCCAGCAGTCGCTGTGCATTATCCTCCGTGATGCTGATCTGCAGTGCGTTCATGCGGTCTAACACAATTGTGGCCTTTCCAAGATGTC